CTTGCATGAGAACAGCCCCAACACCTTGACTGGAGGCATCACACTTAATGATGAAGTCTTTTGTGAAATCGGGCAATGCTAATGTTGGAGGGCTTGCAATTGCCTGTCTCAACTGCTCAAAAGCTTGTTGGGCCTGGGTTGACCAGTGAAAAGCATCTTGTTTCAGCAATTGGGTCAACGGGGTAGCTATTAGGCCGTAGTTTTTGATGAAGCGGCGGTAGTACCCAGTCAGACCCAAGAAGGCCCTCAACTCTTTCACACTCTTGGGTTGTAGCCAGCCCATTATATTGGAGATTTTATCTGGGTCGGTCGCTACAGTTTCGTTCTCTACAACATGTCCCAAGTAGTGAACTTGGTTTTGTCCAAAGGAGCACTTGGACTCTTTAGCGAATAACTAGTGGGCCTCAAGTGTTGCAAGGGTGCCCTGTAGTTGATTCAGATGTTCCTCCCAATTGTGGCTATAGACCAATATGTCATCAAAGAAAACAAGGATGAACTTACGTAAATATGGCCGGAATATGTCGTTCATTAATGCTTGAAATGTGGCTGGAGCATTGGTCAACCCAAATGGCATGACCAGGAACTCATAGTGGCCATCATGCGTTCTGAAAGCCGTTTTGTGAACATCCTCCCTATGTGCCCTTATTTGATGATACCCAACTTGTAAAACTAATTTTGAGAATATGGTGGCTTGACTGAGTTCATCAAGCAGCTCGTCAATGACCAGTATTGGAAATCAGTCTTTAATGGTGATATTGTTAAGGGCTCTGTAATCAATACAAAATCGCCACGTCCCATCCTTTTTGTTGACTAATAATACCGGTGAAGAAAATGGGTTGTGACTAGGCTGTATTATCCCTTGCTTAAGCATATCTTGAACTTGCTTCTCGATTTCAAATTTTTTAAAGTAAGGGTATTGGTAAGGTCTTACATTGGTTGGGGCAGCTCTCGGCATGAAGATGATGCAGTGGTCATGCTCCCGGCGTGGTGGAAGTTCTTGGGGTTCTTTGAACACGCTGCCATATTGCTGAAGGAGTTGTAGGCGGTTTTGGAAGTCTCTAGGCCCATTTGGGCTGCTGTTAGCTAAAGATGGGCTGATCCAATTTGAGTCCATGTGCATGAATATGGGCTAATCCGGATCTCCTATTTGCTTTGTTAATGTTGCAAGACTGATGGGCCTTGGACCCTAGCATGTTTGCTTTGTTAAGTGAGGTCGGCTTCCTCTTCAACATCTATTTGGAGGAGAAATGCTTGTTGTTTCTTGCACCGATGGCTCGGTCCGAATTTCTCTTCGCAGTTGTAACTTGCATCTCTGCCCAGGTCAGCCGTTTGAAAGGAACCAATGGGCCTAGCCCAATATTCCTTCCTCCTTGTCTGGTGCTGTTGTCCTGGTTCCTGGACCCCATGGCCGTTGCACCTTTCTTGCTCGAGCGAACTTATCCTCATACAATCTTGCTAGTGCTGCTGCATTTATGACCGAAGTGGGCTGCATCGCCTTCACTTCCAGTCGCAGTTCTTCTTTCAGGCCACCGACGAAGCTTCCCACCAGCGCCTTCTCCGTCCACCCTTGGACTCTCACGGCAAGATTTTCGAACTCCATATGGTAATCTTTAATTGATCCCACCTGCCGTAGCTTTGCCAAACTCTCATCATGATCTTTGAACCCAGATGATCCAAAACGGATAGTCATGGCATCAGTGAAGTCTGCCCAAGTTTGACGAGGGTGCCCCCATCGGTACCATTGCAACCAGAGGATAGCTTCCCCTTTAAGATGCGCAAAAGCCAGAGCTACCCTGTCTTGCCCAGGTGTCTCATGGTAATCGAAGTACCGTTCGGATCTAAGAATCCAGGGAGTTGGGTTGCCGCCTGAGAAGATGGGGAAATCGATTTTGGCTGCTCTCGTTGCCGCCGGCCCTGTTCTGCGGTTGTTTTCATTGCTGTGCTCTTCTTGGCTTCCTCTGTCGTTGTTCATTGCCCCCTGCTCCAGCCGATTGAGGAGAGCAGCTTCATTTCTTTGAGATCTGAAGACATTCGATGGATCTCTACCTCCATCTGATCCACTCAGGTGTCTACTGACGTGTTTCTTGTGTTGGTCATGCTGGCTCTGATACCAACTTGTTAGGAACGTGCCTAACTCAGGGCTCTTCGAGGGAGCCAACCTCCTGTTGGAGGGAGAGAGAGAGAGAGAGATGCCGAAAGGATTCCTGTCTTATTTCTCTTTGTGCTTCACTACTTATACTGTTTACAATCTTTGATTTCTTTCTGTTACAGCTGTTGCAAGTGGACGATTAGTTGTGCTGATGTGGCCTCCTCTTGTAAAACTGATTAACTGCTTTCTGTTGGTCTGTTCCAGTAGTCTTTACACCCTATGAGCCCAACTATTAATTTGGACTAAGTGTCCATTAGGCTTTTGAGCCTAATCAGGTACTTGCAAACAATCTCTCAACCAGTAACATCAAGAAATTACCGACCCTATTACAAAGTGCAGTGCCACAATTTGCTCAAAATGTATCTTGGAATAAAAATCATTTTCCAACCCTTTGTCAAAATAAATTATTTATTAATATAATTACGTCTTTAAAAAATCGATTTCAAGAACATTTGAAATCCACTGCTGGCATTTTTAGGCTCCACCAAAGAGAGTGTAAACTGGGATATCCTCTTTGTTTGACAAAGTGGTTGGTCCTATCACGGTGATCTCACTCAAGTACCTTCCCAATCTGCTCCAACATACCCAGATTTTTTACTCCAAAAGAACCACTCAAGTTGGCATATCAAAAGCGAACTAGTCTGACACTTGAGTAGAGTCTCATTATTAAGTTAGGAGATTAAATGCAACTTTCCAGATTTATCTACCATTCACCAAGGTCCAGGCTTAAACTGGAAATGGTTCTTTCTGGTGTTTCTTAAAAACCCACTCCTTGTACCTTAGGTCCAACCCAAGCAGTTGAGACAGACAATGTACAGCTTAGGGGTATTCACAGAAACATACGAAAATGCACATGAAATAATAAATGAACTGAATTTATTCATTAATAAATGTCAGTGTGCATCAAACTGTTGGAGCCGAGGGCATACATTATCTAACACTATCAAAATTTAGCTTGACAAATCCCTCCATTGGATTCTCCCACCTCCAAATTGTCTTATTCTATGTTGTCAAATGAACCTCCTTGAAAGTTCCCAAAGATTTGCTCCAAAACACTTTTCAAATTTTCACACATTCAGAAACTACCTTGCATTTTCTCTTTTGTTCCTTGAAAATTCTTGCTTTTCTTTTTTCTGTACAGTCCATGCTGTGGCAGCTCTCACACCTCCACATTTCTCTTCCCCTTCTCTTTCTGTCTCGTTGTTCTACGAGAGAATAGTTCTATCACACTAGCCTGTTGAACCTATCTGCATCCAAAACAAAGAAAGAAACCTTTCCCAAATACCAACAACAAATGAACAAGATTAGTAAGTGCTAGTCAGTTTCATCACAAGTAATGCAAAGAAGACACCAATTAGGAAAAATACACCAAAAAGGTCTGCTCCTGTGTAAAACATCCATTGTGCTAATGCATCCATGCCTTTTTGTCAGGAGAAAACTGAGCAGGGGGAGAAAGGAGAGGTAAAAACTTAAAGAAAGAGGCAAAAGAAAGAAATACAAGGATTAGGCAACCAAACCTGACTGTCCTGTTTTCAAGAATCAAGAAATACCTTTTCCAAGACAGCCAACAAGTTCAAGACGTTAGGCAGCTCAAAGTCACAAATTTCCCTTCTGAAACGTCTTTTAGTGATTAAGTAATTAAGAAGGTTGCGTGCTTCTTAGTGGTTGAATGTAAAGTTGGGTTAATTATTGCACCCTCAAGTATTTTATTATTTAATTATTTTATCCAGTAAAAGGCAAAGGAATAGGTCATTCAGTTCTTATTATTTTATCCCTTGGATTGCATTCCAAGGGAACATGGTTTGAGTTTCATGTTTACATTATTAGGCATGCTCAAGTGTACTGCTTGTTTTTTTTTTTCTTTTCTAAGTAATGAAATTTAAAAAGGGGGAAGAGGTAAACTCTAGCAAAACAGATTATGAGGCTTTTCGGTGAATAATTCATGATTTCATCAATTTAATTTTTGACTACTTTACTCTTTTCCTTTTTAAGTTCATGAAGACATTAATTTGAGCTCTTATATGTTAAACAGGAGCTTGACCCACCTCCATGGCTACACAGAATGCGTGAAATAGGATACCCGCCAGGATATCTAGGTAATTGGATCTAATTGACTTCAAGTTTACAAGTTAATCCAATGTTACATATTCAATACATATTCTGTTGCAACGACTACTGATGCATCGATTTTTTTTTTAATCTTTCAAGGAAGTTTGTTCTACATGTAAGGAATTCATATTCTGCCTCATTTAAGTTTAATTTTCCCCCTCCATTTAAATGGTGGGCTTCATCTTCTAATTTCTGCTGCCTTTTTAATGTGTTCATATCTCCATCTCTACCTTCATCCCCTGCTCTCTCACCGTAGATGGTTGCTTTTAGCTTAAGATTATTTCACTACTTAACAATTTGCTTGTTTGTCCTTTGCCTTGAGAATTTTTTATTTTTTGGTGGAGTGTGTTGAGAAACTTACACAATATTTAGTAATGCTTTTATATCATTGCTATTCTACATTCTTAGATCCAGATGAGGAGGATATGCCTTCAGGGATTATAATATACACTGATGAGGAAAGCAAGAAAGAACAAGAGGATGGAGAAATCCTTGAAACAGAAAACATGGAGCTGAATGTACCAATCCCTGGGAAAAAGATGACGGTAGAGTTTCCAGGAATAAATGCACCAATCCCTGAGGATGCCGATCAAAGTCGTTGGATGTCTTCACGGGAGACTAGTTTTGATTCATCTGGGAGCCGACTCCATCACAGGTTAAACCGCTCCTCAGAAGTCAACGATGAGGGGTACTACCATGATCGAAGATGGTCCAGGGACTACAGAGATGATGCCCCCCCTGGATCTGATCCTGCAGACAGCCCATCCATGTCTGGTTACACACGGAGGTATAGTGGTTACGATCCCCTTTACACAACTGAATCTCACAGTCCAAGAAGTAATATTCCAGTACCAAGGAGTCCGAGTCTTGGTAGGCCTCTATCTGATAGGGGGAGGAGGAGCCCTTTGGTCCATGATGGTTCCCCTGGTCAGAGTCCCTATAGTTCTGTATCTTACCCTTCTCCTAATGCACGGCAGTCGCCACAGAATTACAGTTATTCCAGCTTCGAAAATTGGGCCTATGAGAGCCAACACAGCTCAGGTTCTTTCTCATCATCATATAGGAAGGACAGGCATGAACGTCATCATCATCATCATCATGGTAGGAGGTAAATGGGCGTAAAAATGTTATTTCTGCTTGAACTCCAAGATTAATTGCATGTGTAACATGTGTGATATTTCCCAGCTTTTATAATTGTTGTTGACCAGCTTTTACAAAAAACCAGTTCCCCTCCGTGATATCTAAATTCATGCAGAAATCTGCTTTCTCAAGGAATTTTTGTTTGTTTTTAGTTGGGGAGAAGGAACCTATGTTGTATTTGACTTTCGTATTTTTGCAATTTACAAAAGAAAACATGCCTGTAATTGTTGTTGACCAGATTTTATAATTGTTGTGACGAAAACCTCTGGCCGACCACGTTCAACAGCGTGGGCCATTTGGCAATGCATCGGCATATAGTTTCCGAGAACGCATGGAGTTTCCCATGTACTGTACCTTTCTTTCTATATGCCTGATACGCCGGTAGGGGCATATAGGGCGAATCAATACCTTTTTTTTTTTTTTTACATTTTTTTTGCAAAACTGGTTTAGGAGGGCCGGTTTAGAGTTCCACCCCCTAAACCAGTCAGACCCCTGATACACCCACTGTAGGGGCGTATCGGAGAGCTCGGAACAATACGTATCGTCCGATACGGGCCAATACGTGTCGGTATTTTAAACTTTGGTATCTTTAAGATAAAACTATTTATAATTCATGGACAGTTTCTGAATAGTTAAGTGGGTAGTTTTTTGACAGTTATAAGTGGGTAGTTTCTAATACGAGTAAAGAACATATATGCCATTTTTATGGCCATTGTATGTTTAGACAATGGGGATAAAAAACATTTAAAGAAAATTCCAGAAATGGCATTTGTAGTATAGATATAATCTCTCTAATAATTCTTTGTTTTGAGAGAAGCCATATGTGGCAGAATTCATTAAAAATATGCTCAGAATTCAAGACATTACAATCAGCATCAGCCAGAAAAGTCCAAGAAATTGACAAAACAAATGGAGAAATAAGTCCAGATTATCAACCAATCTGCTGAAAAAAAGATACCAATCCTGAGCACCGGGAGAGAGCTTATGAGACTATAAGACACCAAAACTAAGGGTCAAGCCTCCAACAGAGATAAACTCGACAAGAAACTCCAGAACAATGTGTCCCAACAACTAAACCAACATGGGGTTTGGAGAGAATTGATTGTTAAACTCAAACCCATCTATTGGCAATCAACATTCAACTTCAGATCTAGTGGAAGGGGGAAAGGAGATTGTAACAAACTGTTCTTCCAAAACTGGATGAAATCCACAACTTAAAAAGACAGGTGGCCTACCGTTCCAGATCAGGATACATGTATTACAAGCTTAAAAAAACTCGTAGAAAAGCCATAACATCCACATTCTAAATAGTTGGCGGAATCCCAAAAGTTGTCCACACGGTCATATCTCTTGCAACGACCATTAATGCATGAAATCCATGTCCGAGATGGAAGGAATAGTGGTGTAACTCGCGCCTACACACATGGATCTATATATTGATTGATCACAAAATTAAAATGCCAAAAACGTCGGAAACAACATACTTGCCGGAAACCGTGAGACCATGGCCACCGGAAACTGGATATCCAGACTATACAATACGGAAAAATACATCTGTAGTTCCATCTTCACAGATGCTGACAAACCTCCAAATCTAAATCCCTTCCAGCGGACCCAAAACATCCAAAAGAACGGGACAAAAACCAACATTGATCCCATCCATTTCAAATGCCGGCAAGAATTCGGTGCCATGAACTAGGAAATTGCCAACACCAGAAACCACCCCCAAGATACTATAAATCACCGCACCATCCGGAACAGCGCCAAAAAACATCTCCAATTAATCCATGGTGACCCCTATCCAAATGGTGAGCATCCGTCGAACTCCTCTGACTACACCCACAACCTTTGACATTATGCTGAGATAAACTTCTATTACCTCACCCACAAAGCCAACACCTCCCACTGGAAATACCTTTTGGACGAGAGGTTTGAAAGCTAATCGCATTGATGCCCAAACTGAGAGGAAGCCTCAAAATGTAGAACCGCATCCATGCTCAACCCCTACCATTTCAATCTTTCTCTAACAAACCCTATTAACAAGAATAGGAAAAAAAAAAAAAAAACTCACTGATGAAGGGTGATTTGGCATGACCTAGTAAGAAGAGGTCACGTGGACGCGATCTACTCGAAGGATGACAACTCAGTGAAAAGAACCCAGTCAACAAAAGTTAGAGCTCGGGTATTCGGTTACCTTGGCCCAAAATCACGTCGGCATAGAGTCATCTCGGCATAAAGGCACCTTGACACCCAATTTAGTTCGGGGCCAAAGAACCGAAGTGACAGTTCGGGGCCAAAGAACCGAAGTGCCACGAAATCGACTCCGGAAGCTTCCCCAACGGACTCCGAATTTCTCGGGATCATGACATCTAATAACAGGGCTCATCCTCACTCCGCCCGAATCAGAGAAAAGTGATAAACCTTATCAACTGGCGCATTGCTCTCATTTGAAAACGGAACAGATCTTATCTATGCAGCCCGGAGATCCCAAAGCATTTTCGTAAGATTCACGACTACTACACTAAATAAGGGCATCGAACCTCAAGGCGAAGGTACGCGCGATTATTTGCTCACTAGCACTCTAGCACTCAAGTATAAAACTCGCATCCATAATACAATACTGATTTAAGCATCGGAGCGACCACGCCGGGTTTGCCACATCGGGTTCTCTAATCCTTTATCTTGTAGCTTGTTCCAGCTCGCCACGCGACTAGGGTCCAGGTCATCTTCTAGCTAGGAGTATCTACATTGCACACGATCAATTGGTGCCATCTGTGGGAACCGATCAATAAGTCATTCCAATCTCAGTTGCAGTTCTAGCTTTCAATCTATCTCAATGGATTCTTCAGCATCACCGGGAAAAGCATCGAGATGAACGTCACTTGGGGGAAAGATCAGCAATCGACCTTCCCCCAAGGCCCCACAGTATGCATCGGCCAGTTTACTATTCCCCTTACGGCTCTAGGGGTTTCGTCACTATCCATACCACAGGGCACCACACAAGTGAGCGTCTCGCTTCCCCCAGTGGGTGTGACTTTCTCTGAGCCATCCATGGTCCCCACTAGAATCGAGTGAAGGGATGAGAGATCCATCTTATGGACGCCCAAAAGATTGCGGAATAAGGGGCGAATTTCAAAAATTTTTCTCTCCCTTCAACTGGGAATCGTATTCCCCATTTAGAAAATCATATTT